GAAAGTTTTTTCGGTGCAAGGAAAGTTTTTTCGGTGTTTTCATGGTCTTAAACAAATAAAAACTACCTTTATTATTCAAAACAATATCGACAACACATTCATAAACAACATTTGTTCGGTATTTAATCTAAGAAAAGATGCATTGTGTTTATTTTTTAGATCAATAATGTCATAATTAAGCTCCTCCTGTAAAAGTTTGTTTCTAATCTTTGCTACCAAGTGAGCATTTGGCTGTGGAAGATTATGTTCTGCTAAAGAAATGGATGTTGAATCGAAGAGTAACTCAAGCTTGTTAAGTACATAATTTTTCAATTCTATATTAGAAATTCGAAGATCATGCATTGCAAATGTGGATTTAAGATTTGCAATAATATAATCGTTCATAAACATTTGTCTTAATTCAAGTGAAGAAATTGTTGTCACAACCTCTTAGAAGGCTTCATTCCATTCTTTGATCATCACCTAACAAACCAAAGGCATAGTAGGCTACTTGGAAGCTCAAATGCACAACACTACCAACTATTTTAATGGTCTCAAAACTTGTTGCACCTCAGACATGATTCAACAACATCCTAACGAAGTGAAGTTCTCCTAGCATTTAGGAGGGGAAAAAAAAAACAAATTTTGAAAGAAAAAACAAAACATCATAATTTTTGCACATTTTTAATTTTTGAGAAATTATATTTATAGATTGGAATTAATGAAAACTTAACAAAAACTGATTCTTGATCAAATAATTTAATATTAAGGGGAAGTTTGGATCATTAGGCCTTAAAAAACATATTTAGTATTGATATCTTAAACATCACTTGCTAAAACAAGATTATTAAGCATCTGAAATTCTTTGTCGTAGTTTATTATAACCTAATTTTATGAGGTATTACATGAAAGTCATAAGGATGCAAATTTTTAAAGTGATTAAATAATTTCGAACAAGGTTGAGTATAGAGTAGGCCTCAGCATGGATGGGAAAAACCGTATATTTAACTCCAGTTAGATATATATGAATATTTTGAATCAGGCACGAATATATAAAATAACCCACCAACCTGACTTTACCTATTGTCATCCCTATTTGAACATTTCCATGAATAAATATTCAAAATCAGATTAGTAATGCATGATTTTTTTTCCCCATCTACACCAGACATAATTCTGATTTTGCACATGCAAGTTCTCGGTTCAGGTAGGAAATAGAATTAGAAGCCTTAAACCCTTAAAAAAGAAAAAGACCCGACGCCCTCTTTCTCCGATACATAAACTAAACCAAGAAACCTCCCTCTCATTTGCCTATCTCAAGAAACAACACCATTAATGGCGATCAAGAACCAATCTTTAATCATCTTCCTCTTTGTTTGCTATTTACTCCTGAGCTTTTCACAAGAGGTTGCCCATGCGGGATCGTATTTCTCCACCATAACAGGGGGCAACTGGGTTCTTCTCCAAGAAAGCATAGGCATCTCAGCCATGCACATGCAAGTCCTTAGAAACAACAAGGTCATCATGTTTGACCGCACAGACTTTGGCCGCTCCAATCTCTCTCTCCCAGGCGGCAAGTGCAGGTACAACGACGAGGTGGTTAAGCCTAAAGATTGCACTGCTCACTCCGTCCTTTATGACATCGCTTCCAACACCTTCCGCCCTCTCATGGTCCAAACCGACACTTGGTGTTCTTCTGGCTCCCTTGATTCCTCCGGTAATCTCATCCAAACCGGCGGTTACAAAGCAGGTGAGACAGTAATACGCACTTTCACCCCCTGCGATGACGATTCTTGCGATTGGGTGGAGCTGACCAATCAGGTTCTTTGGAACCGGAGATGGTATGCCAGTAATCAGTTACTCCCTGATGGTCGCATAATTATTGTTGGTGGAAGAAGGGCTTTCACGTACGAGTTTTATCCCAAGAATCCTCAAGAAAGAGACAACTTCACATTGCCTTTCTTATTACACACCAGAGACCCTCAAGAAGAGATCAATCTTTATCCCTTCTTGCACCTCTTACCTGATGGTAATCTTTTCATTTTTGCAAACAATCGATCAATCTTGCTTGACTACAAAAGTAATAAGGTGATCAAGGAGTATCCGGTTATGCCTGTTGGTGACAGAAGGAACTACCCTTGCACTGGCTCTTCTGTTTTGCTTCCTCTCCGTTTAACCGGAATCACTAATGTGACAGACCATCCTGTAGCGGAGGTCATGATATGTGGTGGGGCAAAGCAAGGTGCGTATATCAAATCCAATTATCTCCACATTTACGAGGAAGCATCAACGACTTGTGGCAGGTTAAAGGTGACCGACCTGAAACCTGAATGGGTCATGGAGCTAATGCCGATTCCTCGGATGATGAACGATATGTTACTTTTACCCACCGGTGACGTGATTATCATCAATGGCGCAGCCAATGGAAGCGCAGGTTGGAACGACGCAGTGAATCCGGTTTATAACCCGGTTCTGTACCAACCAGATGAAGATCCGACCCGAAGATTCGTAGTGCTGAACTCCTCCAAGATTGCCAGGTTGTACCACTCCACAGCCGCACTCTTGCCAGATGGCAGGATATTAGTGGCTGGAAGCAATCCGTACCAGAGTTACAATATGACGGGAGAACCTTATCCAACCGAGCTGAGCTTGGAGGCGTTTTACCTGCATTACCTGGAGCCACATTACATGAATCTAAGACCTTCAATTTTGACAGTGGAGTCGCCCGAGAGAACGGTGTCGTATGCAGAGATGTTCTCCGTTACGTTCGTTTGCCCCTCGTATCGTCTGGATTCGGGGGTCTCCGTTACCATTATTGCACCGTCGTTTACTACACATTCATTTGCCATGAACCAGAGGATGGTGGTCCTGAACGTTGTCAGTGTGGTCCAGTTATCCATGTTTGCTTATAAGGCTAATGTGATTGGGCCAATTAATGTTAATGTGGCTCCACCTGGATTTTACATGATGTTCGTTGTCCACGCTGGCATTCCTAGTCACGCCGTTTGGGTTAACGTACGCTAAAAGCTTCTCTCTCTTAATTTTTTTTTTTTTTTATATCCTCATATTGCAGATTTTTTGCTTTCCATTAATTGTTGAAAATATTCTCGAAACGTTGTCATGTAATCTTGTGCTGTATTCTACCAAACAACTATTGTCTCTCGTTGGATTTTTTAATACTAAAAGAATAATTAGCATGCATGTACATTTTACTTTTTGAAATCATTTTTAAAGAAAAAGATAGACATAAATAAAAAAATTCAAATCCATCAGAATTATTGAGATATTGTTTTTTTTATATATAGAAAATATAGGTATTGTAAATTTCTAATTATTGAAAGATTAAGTAAAGCAGAATTTATATTCATTTACGATGAGTCTATTAGTTTTATACTTCTACTACTTAATTATGTTTTGGGTAGTATGAGTACGCACTAACTTGCGAAAATAATGTCGTCCAGAGATTCTTCAAAATCTGAAACGTCATAATACTTTTAACAAAATGAACTACAAGAAGCTACATTTGTTGGGCAGAAGACCAAAGATAAGTGCCGTAAATCATCATAGTCTTTGCATGGCCCAAAGATTTAAAGATAAAAGTGGGTTGGCTGAGGCCTATTAGTTAGTCTTTTAAGTTTTAAGCACTTCTCAATTATTAAGGATTGGATTGAAAAGCCCGAAACAAAAGAAACCAGTTGACTGTTGGAATTGGAAGGGAGCAACAATTGGCTCAACAATGATATAGGTGCGAATCAATCGAGTACAATGCTTTAAACAGTGAATAAAAAAATTTAGCAAAAATAAAATAATTGTTCTAAATTACGTATGGACGTTTTAATAAGATTAAAATCTTTCGAATACACCCTAGCTATATGGCAGAGGCAGAATGATTAGTTCAAATGATGGGAAATCGTCAAGCAAGCATCCTCTGAACTCTAAAGGGGAAATGAGAAGTGGTCATTGGTGACAATGAAGGAGTTCTTTTAATGGCATAGAGTGGGACATGGAAGAGTTAATAATGTCAGGAAAAGGTTATAGAGTGACGATTTTGAAGAGACAAGTATATATATAAAATTACAGGACAAAACAGATAAAAACAATCATCATTGGAGCAAGCTGCTTCAATATCTTAGCATCTGTTACGAGTTCAGTTTTTGGAAAGGTATGCCGTGTCATTGGCTCATTTTCATGTTAAATAATTTTTTTTTCTGGGGATCAAATTAAAAAAATTTGAACCTAAACAAATCATAAGTGTCACCTTTTCTAATGGGAAGGAAGGAACTTTCCATCCTCTGAGGGTCAAATATGACGACAAATATATTTTGGAGGAACAAAAATGGAAAATACTGTCTTTAATTTGCAGGAATCAAATTGAAAAATTTTACAGAAAAGGGACTGAATTGTTGTATTATTGAAGGATGGGGAGCAGAATTTTGAATGCGTCCTTGATCTTAGCGTCTTCAATCCTAATAAATCCTTGAAATACTGTAATCCATAGACATCAGAGTGATTAGGCAGTTGTAATTATCTGTATGATTGGCAATTAGTGTTTGTCTGGAGAAAAACGTTGTTCTTCATTATTTAATTGATCTCTACAATGGCCAATAACTCCCAGTTTCCTTCCAGTTTCTATGGGTGCAAGTGTTGCAGTACTTCGTCGCGTATATTGTTTTCAAGAATTTTTGTTGTTGTGAATCTTATGCTTTGCTAAGTACTAATTATGATTTTTTTTTGTTAAGTTAATTAAACTCGACAGCTCCAGAGGGTAATTCATTGTATAAACAAGCTAAATAAGTTTAAAATAGAGTACATTCTGTAGTAACCAGAGTACCATCTTGTATCAAAGTCCTCTCAATGGAGGCAGGAAACCATCAGCTATTTGCGGGTGTTGGCCACACTGTAATCAAGTCCAGCAGTGGCTCTTCTGCACGGCCGAGAGATTTGGCTTGCCGAGATGCTTAGCATGACCGTTTGATGCGGTACGAAGAGGCAATTTGACTAGTTTCCTTTGTCGCTTTGATTTAGTTCTTAGCTCTCGTTGAGTATTTATACTGGGTGGCCCAGAAAAGGTAGTGTATGAAATTCAGAGCACTCAACACACACAAGAGCCAGTAGAATCGTTCCAGGTGATAGTGATTGATGCTGCTGCCTGAGAGCCATGGTCTATTCTTGGAGTTACCTGTAACATTGTTAACTATTGTTACAATCACTGAGCTGAGGTAGTACCCCATTGCCAGAGAGGCCCAACAAAGAGATGTAGCCAGAGATCTCATTCCTGCGGGTGCCTCGGTGAAGAAAAATTCTAACAAACCTGCCAAGGTGAAAAGATCAGCTGATCCTAGGAACAAATACTGGAAGGCTATCCAAAAGAACGTAATTGGCAATGGGTTATTCATGTCAACTTGTCCTGAGTTTGCAGCAACTCTCTTCCTCTTAATCTCAACGAGGGCGGCCACTGCCATCGCAGTTATGGAAAGAACCAATCCAACGCCAATTCTTTGTAGATGAGTGATTCCCATTTCAGACTTGGTTAATTTCCTAGCGAATGGGATGATGAGATGGTCATAAACAGGTGCTAGCATCATAATGAAGACCACAGGAAATACGGGAAGGGAAGCTGGCGGGACTTTCAAGGCACCAAGCTTGGTGTCCATGGTAGCAGCTTGTTGTACAGAAAACGTGGAAAGCTGAGCAAGACAGCAATTGAGCATCATGGTGCAAGCAAATATGGGAAAGATTCTTATCACCATCTTGACTTCTTCCACTTGCTGCACTGAGCATTCTAGTGCAGAGTGGATTGGCTTATTCACCACCGCTTTGTTAAGCCAGCCAAGGCTTTTTGTTGGGGTTTCTGCCGGCATAACTTCTATGGGGTTATCTTTTACATCCTTGCTGATTTGAGTTGGGTTGAAAGGGCTTGTTGTCAGGTTAGCAATGGCATTGCTTGAACTTCTGCTCCTACAAGAGTTAATTGCAGCAGCAACCAAAACCTATCCAATCAAATCCATTAAGAGGTGATTAGCTACATACAATATAGAAGCTTGGTATAGCCATTCAAACTGTCTGACAGCCATGGCAAGTCTGAGTTGTGTCCACAAATGGAGCCATGTGGATCACACAGTTCTGCATCTCTGGTTTCGTGTACAGATGAACCAATATGAACTTTCCATAGTCTGGATATATATACATGTATCTTTCAGAATATTAATTACCTTGGATATGGTTGCAAGTGGACTTCCAGAAGGTATTTTATTCCTGTAAGTAACTGAGCCAGCAAGAAAGACTGCGATAGACAGGAATATTGCGATAGTAGAGATCCCAAAGCCCCACACCCAGCCTTTGTTATCTTCAACCCACACTACAAATGTGACTGCAATCAGGCCTCCACATGAGAGACAGAAGACAAAGTAATTGAAGAAGGTCGATCTCTGCTTCCTTCCATGTGGAGTGCTATCATCAAACTGCTCAGCCCCGTGTGCCGCCAATGATCCTTTTATCCCTCCAACGCCGAGTGCTACCAGATAAAGGCCTGAGAACAGCATCGCAGCTTTCGCGCCATCAACTTCCTGGCATGGGATTATGGGGTTGCTTCGGTTACATGCTGGTGGCTTCAGGGCAGATGACCGAGCTTGCACTGTCAGTATCACCAAGCCCTGTTCCGATGTGAGAACAGTTCAGAGCGCTTACAACTACTCCGGGATATCAATAATGTGCTATATTAATCTTGAAAAATTGTTATGCCCTTAACTTATATTAATCCTGAATTTTCCATTTCCTTTACTGAATTACTCACCTAATCAATAATTAAGGCAGACCCAATTTTCTTTACCCATCACCCATGGATTTTTTTTCCTTAACCTAAAACACTAAGAGAGTTATAAAACAAAATTACGCCCAATAAAGGTTTTGAGAAGCTAAAATTATGTCTAAGAAAAATTACAAGCTCGATAGTTTTAAAATATATATATATATATATATATGAAATAATACTAAAAATTCTAGATGTTACCTGAATTATCCATTCTTCAAAATCTTAAAAAAAAATTGTTATCTAAAATTGATTCTTAGTAATTAGAGTCCCCCCCCCCCCCCTCTTTATTAGTGTTAGGCCTACTGGGAATAGGACACTACTATATACGTCATCAAACTCCAACATCTTGTTCTTTTTTAACAAACCCATATGCATGCTGGAAAGTACATTATAAATTATTCCCTCTACTTTTGAAAAAAAAATGAATTAATTAATCTATCTTGTCTCAGACCTATCTATTTAATTTATCAATCAACTGGTCATATTTAATTTAATATTATCTTTATTTAAATGAATTATTTTTCATTAATTCTTCTGTATTTTTTCTTATTTCTTAAAATAAACAATCAAAAAATTGAAAAAAAATAGAAATGATTAAATTATATATATATATATATATAAGGATTAAATAATTAATTTTTAAAATAAAAATATTAATTTTTTTTTAACTAACTTATAACTTAGTCCATGGATGGGTCATCCCTAATGTTTTATTTATTTTTATTTTTTTGAGATTGGGTCACTGTTAGTGCTATGTAGGAGAGTTGACATCCATCACAGCAAGAAATTAATCTTATCTCTACAGCTCTTTAATTACAAATAAATACTAGAATTGAATCTATGACCTGTTGATTGATGAGAGGACACAGCTGCTGAGCTAAAATCCCATTAATGAATCAAATATCAATTCTACTCTGCAAACAACATTTTTTTTTTTTGTTGGGATTAGAAATAGGGCAAGACCGTAAGAGAGATTACATCAAGTACATCCTTGGCTACGCACCGCCCCACAGACATCACTGAGGACCACGCTTAGACAAGCCAAAGAGCCTACGTGAAAGATTGGTTTAAGGATGGCCAAGGCAATTATTAGCATCTAGTTAGGCAACCAATAGATAAGTTTCACAATAAACTACTTATAAATATGCGTAAGTGCAACAGACAGTGAGGACGGACCTAACAGTATGTGAATCGAAGAGATAGCTCAAAAAAAGAAGGGTCCATTAGCCACGTATTACTGCCCGCATCAACTTTCTGACTAATAATATTGTGATAGAGACCTCGTGTGAAATGTCAACTACAGGTACAACGATTTCCACTCATGGGTCTAAGACCAAATCGGTTCTACTCCACCATCAATTAATGAGCTTTTACTTAAAATAAACAAAAATAGGTAAAATTCGGTAAGCAGGAACATATTAACTACTAAACACGTGGTTCATGAACCTGCAAAACGGTCACTACTAGTAAGTTGCCTGTAGAGAAGGTCAGCTAGACCGCAGAATCAAGAGCAGAAGAGCAAACGGGTTATTGCACAATCCACATATCGATTAGCCATTGGAAGATCCAATTTAGCATATCTAAAGACAATGACCGTACTTTATTGCACCTTTCACATATTGCGGTGCACGTGTAGGATAAATGGCGTGACACATGGCATGTCGGTCACAAACTTTGCCGGTATGGCACTCTGGAGGTGAGAAGAGACTAAATTTTGAAGCAAACATGAAAAGAAGACATTGCGATGGGAGTTATTTCTCTTGCCCTAGCAAAGAAACAAGAGATTTATTTGCTGGTCCCTACGCTATGAAATAACACTCCTCTTATTGGATACGTTGCATGATTCAAGTTTGTTGGGGCCCGCTCCTGATTTACTCTCATTCGATCAATATGATTAACTTTCGACTCTTTTAGTTGGTGAATTAAAATAGGAGGAACTTCAAGTCAGTATCAAACTTGCATATTCATTCTCAGCAACTGAGTCTCAAACCTAATCGATATGTTTCAGAACATTTTCAATTAAAGTCTTTCTGTTAAGACTGATTTATTAATTAATTCCTTTAGTGTAGCAAAAGGAATAAATAATCCTTCATTCAAAAATTAATTAATTAAACTATTTACAAATGTCGACCATATTTAATTTAATCTTATTTTATTTCAACAAATATTTTTTTTCATCTATATTCTTCTCTTTTTCTATATTTTAAAAATATATATTTATAAATAGATTTAAAAACACAAAGATTAGTTAATTAGTTTTTGAAACTAAAAAAGATTATTTAATTCATTTTGAAAAACTAGAATAATTTATAATTTACTACTTTCTATTAATATTTATCAATTTTTTTTTAAAATTGATACTAGTGGATAAATATGCAAATCGAAATAAAAAAGTTAGTGTTTATTTTTATTTTATTTTTTTCAAATCAATATCAATAAACCATCCTAATACATAAAATTTGCACAATAGACTTCAATCATTAAAAGAATTTGACAAAAAAAAATTAAGAAATTTAAAAAATGTTTGGGATCTTATCAATAGAGTTTAAAGGTTTATAACGTAATTTAGAATGAATATACAGGTTTGAGATTAAATTGAGATTTCCACGTTATATTAAGATCATTTATCTGCAGGACGTGACGTAAGAAGACTCATCTTTTATCATAATTTTCTTCTTCTTTTATCATAAGAAGAAGAATCATATAGTCATTTAATCAAGGCCCAATCTAAGGATTTCTAGTTCTACAAACTGACAAATCGATAAGCAGATCATCAAACAGTCCCCTGTTTTCTTTTTTGTGTGCCTTGTTAGATGTGCCCAGCTAGTTACTGTGTTCCTTAAATTCATGCGAAACAGTCAAAGGATCAATATCCGAAATTATAAGAAAAGTTACAAGTTCTAGGAAGGAAGGATCATTTATTGTTTCAGATTATTTAACTAGTCAGTAGTGCAAGCAACTTATTGCCAACTCACGACTGGATTAAATTGCTGTTCAATGATTAAAAAAATAAAAAATTGATAAAATGAAATGAAATGCAACTCACCCAATCAAAGCGGCGCCATGTTAGCTTCACATTCGTGCCAGTCAGTTTTTTTTTTGGGGTCTCAATCAGTTTTCGATTATATATATATATATATAGACGAAACCTCCCTGTTTCTTGAACAATATGCATTTTTTAGAGTGGTCTTATTCCTCGATCTTCTGGAGGATAAAACCGATAATAATTTCCAACATGAAAGTGAATGGAGGAAAATCTTATATAGGAACAGTGTAAGATTCAAATTATAGAGAGTGGATGGGATTTCTTACAGTCAACAGTTGGTTTTAGCTAAGACATGATCATGCTGCAGTCATTTATGCTTCAATCAAACATGTAAGGTTTCTGTTTTGAAAAACTAAAAATAAAAAGCGAAAGTTGAAAGGAGAAAGTAGAAGACAGTCTTGTCTGCCTAGATGGTCAATCAGCAAATTAGAAAACAGAAAAGTTAATTTTCAAACAGCACCTCCGGCCCTCCCCATCCAAAAGAGAGAGAATAAGAGAGAGAGAGAGAGAGAGAGAGAGAGCACAGTAGAGACTGCAATTACCAGGAATTCAACAGCTGCACTTATCAGGTAGATGTGGTAAGTAGTGCAAAAAGCATCTGATAGGAAACCTCCAAGAAGAGCCAAAAGGAAAGATGTCCCCATGAAATTCGTGACATTATTGGCCGATTTAGATGGAGATAAGTGCATATACTCGGATAGATAAGTCACCAAGTTGCTAGCATTTGCTAAATACGCCAGGTTCTCCAATATCTCCACAGCTACATAATTATCATAGTACCATATTAACAAATTAAATCACCAAATATAGAACAAAGACTTTCATGAAAAAAGAAAAGAAATAATTACTGAAGATTAATGGTACAAAGTACAGACCCAACACGAAGGAAGCAGCAAGCATGCCACCATGGCGGGCACGAAGTGCAGGCCTGTTTCTCCAATCCACATAGCCCTCCCATCTGGTCAGCTGGTGTTCCTGTTCCTATCCCAAAAAAAAAAAAAAAAAAAAAAAAAAAAAAAAAGGAAAAGAAAGAAACTCGTGATGATCGGACCAGTGAGAGATCGTCAGCAAATAGGTAGCTAGTATGAGATTTTCATTTTGTATGAATAAAGATAACCATGAAGAAAAATTGCGAAGCAATTAGTGCAAGCCATATTGTGGGAAAACTGATCAACCAAAAAAGAGAAGAAAAGAGTTGGAGGAGGAACGCACCATCTCTATATTTCTTTTTCCAACTTGGGTAAGTTGGGGAAGGATCTTTGGTGAGGGTTAGAGACTTTGATTGCAAAAGTAGAGCGAATGGCTGATGGGGCATTTAAAGAGTGAAGCAAAGGAAGGTCCAACTTGAGACAGAATGGTCTAGGCCCTTTAGAAAATGACTTTGATACTTTCAACCCCTTTTGCGTTACTAAAGAATTTATTTTTTCATCTTCAAATTCGATTTCTAATACATTATATTATGGTTATCTTCCCACGCAAAACGCCATGTCGACTCCTGCTATCTATAAATATAAAATATGGTAGTGTGTTCTCAAAGACTGATATGTCAAGATGGTGTTTGATTCGGAGAAATTTTATAACATATCAATATTAACTAGTGACATATACAGTAGCTTATTTCATGTAATTTACTTTATAGAGAGAGATAGACATACAAAAAAAAGAGAGAAAATAAAAAAATTTGAACGAACGTGAAAATCTTTTTAGCACTTTTAATGGATATAGATGTAATTTCTATTTTTTTTATCTATATGAATTCATATAATAACTACCGTACATACCACTAATTATTCCCGATGTATTATAAAATTTATCGTTTGATTCGGGTTTAAGAAGTGGAGGTCAGATGTTAAGGAATAAAGCGGTAAAAATGTAATAAAATACTTTAAAGGGTTAGAGGATGTTAAATATACTATTAAAAATTATTTGTAATGATGGGATAATTTTAAATTAATATTGAATTTAGATATAAAAATATTAATATATAATATATAATGCTGGGACTCATTTTTTGGGTTTGTGGAAAAAAGTGAGAAAATGAAATTTTAATTTGAGAATAAAGATATATTGCACAAACTTCAAAACTTTTACTTCACTTTTTCTCGCTTTCCTTTAAAGAATTACTGACCAAACTTAAAACGGTTTAAATTAAAGAGTTAACATAACTACATTAAAAAAAAAAAAAAAGCAAGCAAAATTATTGATTTATTATTCATTTGCACCGTTTCAAATACTATTCATCCAAACTTATACACACGTTTCTTTCATTATGTAGTGATGTTTTTATAATTTTAAATTTTAAAAGCATTTATTATGAAAGTTTTTATAGTATTATAATTTGATTTCTTTTTTTAATTTTTTTTTTCAATTCATAAATTTTTTTGTTTCATTTTGATCACTTTGATCCTTGTTTTTTCTTTGTTTTTTTTTTTATTAAAAATTTTAAGGCAAAAGATGTTTTAAAAAATAATTTATAAAATAAGTTCTTAGCTAACAATCCGTTAATTTTAATATTTTTTCTTACATTATTATAAATTTTTTAGTTAAGAATATAGATAGAAATAAATAAATAATATTTTTTAATCAAATATTTATGAAAAATCTAAAGAATAATCAATAAAATATAAAATTTTAATTATAAAATTGAATGAATTTTTATTTTTATTTGATATATTTTGATAAACGTATAATGTAACATAGAATATCAAACTAAAATAATTTTTTAAAAATAATTTCATGTTTTATGCTATATCGTAATACGGATAAAAAAACTAGTTCCATCTAACTCAAATATGTATTCTAAGATTTAAGAAAGATGTGAAGTTCCTACGAGAAGAAGGGGAATGATGGCTATGGAGAGTGAATAATTAAATCCTTTTTCCAAACTATTTATAACCAATATAACAAAATTTAAAAACATGTAATACTGTTTAGTAACAAAATCTAAGACATCGTTTAGGTGTTAATTTTTGACAAAGATATGAATGTGGTTTTAATTTGAATAATTAGATGTTGACATTTTGTATGTTAGATAGTCTTTCCATCTATGGTCAAGCTAATTTTTCGTTGACTTTATCTTTTAAAAGAACGGATTGACATGTCTTAGATTTCTAGAGGTTGCAATTTTAGTGAAAATTATTTGGATTAAAAAATATATATATTTTTTTAATTTTTTTCTTTTTGTATTCACACTCGCAAAAAAAAAATAATAATAATAATAATAATTTTAAGAAGTCAAAAACAAATAAAAAGATGATAAACAATTTTATGTTTTTTTTTTTTACTTATTTTCTTTATCAGAAACCAATTAGCTAATATAGTAGTACTTATTTTGCGTCTTGTAAATCAAAATATGATATAACAATATTCAATAAAGGATAGTTAAGGTGATTGATGCAGTGATGAAACACACTTGATGACGGTAAAAATATAATTTTTCATGAAAGTTTTGGTTTTATGTGTTCGAAATTATATATTCTTTATGTAGAACTTATTTATTTCCTATGTTTTTCCTTTGAATTTTTGAAATAAAATAAACCAATCAGCTAGAAAAAAATTAAAAATATCCAGCATAAATACATAAAAATTAACAAAAAAAATTCTAATCATGTTTAATTTTTTTTTTTAACTTCTAAAAAATTCTGATATAAATAAACTACTTAAAATTAATTTTAGTCTCAAATAAATAAAAATTTATCTACAAAAAATAGAAGACAAAATGAATAAAGAAAAAATTTCAATCATTTTCTTCTGTATTTTTTTTACTCTTTAAAAATACAGTAAACAATCTAATGTAAATAAAACATTTAAAAAATAAAATAATAATTTTCAGCTTATTAAAACCTAACTAATAAGCTACATATATAGATATAAACTCACCTTAGTTTTCTTTTTAAAGTTTTGTTATATATATATATATATATATATATATATATATATATATATATCAATTTCCAAATGGGAAACTGAAAATGCTGAATAATTACAAAATAATATATATTTTTTTTTTACATGGAGGTAATTACCACATCAGCTGATTTGTACGATAAGCTAACAATAGTGCTTGATTAACCAAATTTGTTGAGTACAGGTATTTTAATAAAAAAAATTATAAATTATAAAATAATGGTACTTCATTTGCCATTATCTTAATTAACTTTAATTAAAATATACAGTGAACATTTTATTTACAACTACCATTAGGAAGAAAAAAAAAGAAGGAAATTTTTTGACATTATATCAATCCTTTTCAAGGTCTCTGAAATTGTATAAAATCTATAATAGTATGTTAACGAGTTGATTTGTGTGTCATTTTACACCCTCGTCATTTTTCAATTAGATCCGTTTTAATAAAATTATTAAATAATATGGTACAATTTATAACATGATATTTTTAAAATTCCTGAACAATCAAACAATTAAATTGAATATGAATTGAAAATATAAATATATTACATGTATATATATTGTTAGATTTTCTTTTCTTTTATTATTAATGATGCAAATTGTTTTTTTTTTTTTCAATTCATAAATAACACTACAAATACTTAATAGTGTTTAATTAATATGGTTGAAATAAACAGGTGTCATAGAAATTGAGTTTGATTTAATAAAAAAAAAATTCAAATTATCAATAGTCTTACATGTAAATTTAGAATTTAGATTTTGACTGAACTAATATTTGAAATTGCTCACATGTAAATACAATGAGAAATAATACCAATTAAACTAAACATACCGATCATCATAATGTGCAAATGAAATCATAATAGAAGATATTAAGATGGCCGGCTTAAGAATTGAATTACTTATTTAATTACAAACAATCTAAGAACGATATTAATTAAGATTTTGACTGAACTAAGATTTGAAATTGCTCATGCGTAAATACAATGAGAAACAATACCAATAAAACTAAACATATCGATTATCATAATGTACAAATGAAATCATAATAGAAGATATTAAGATGATCGGATTAATAATTTAATTACTTATTTAATTACAAACAATCTATAAAGATATTAATTAAGATGATCGGATCTCTCATGAGGTAAACCGTTTGGCTAGTTTATAAGGTAAAGTTGTACTGATGCTTCGCCATCCAAATTCTTAATTACATGTTGATTTAGCTTTCATAAACGGCATTCATAAAAAGGTGTCATTTTTTTTTCCATTTTTTTCCTTTTGTTTTGATGTCCTGTTGTCAGGAACGGCATTCATAAAAATTCGGATTTGAAATATAATAATTGAATTACAATTAATTAAATCCAAGTTGCACAAAATGGCGTATGATCAATGAGCATAATGTGCAAGTGAAATCATTCTAGAAGATATTAAGGTGATTGGATTGAGAATCGAGTCAATTATTTACAAACAATCGAATTATTAGAATCGGGTTTTCATCAACTGTATTGTTTAACAAGTTTATAAGATAAAGTGGTTGATGCCTCGCCATCCAAAATGTTGTTTATACATAGGCCTAGCTTTCATAAACGGCATTCATTAAAAGGAGTCGATCCTTTTCCTTTTGTTTTTGGTGTTCTCTTAAACAAAAAAATCCTGTAATTAATACACTAGCTTGCTTAGCAGTTCTGGAATTCCTTCATTAGGAGGATGATGGTAATTTTTTTTAAAAAATAAAATATTTAGGGGAATAAACAGTAGATAAATAGGAATCTTCACGGTTCAGTTTCTTACATATTAATGTTGATGAGAATGACAGTTATGTAATTTTTAGGCATTGATTTACAAATTTTACATTACTTTGTATTTTGATCGCTCGTATTTTTAAAAGCATCTTGTTGTCTCTTGGACTTGCTTTTGCATGGCCAGGTGCATAGCTTGCATTGGACGAGCTTTTGCAGGCTTATGCATGCCTGTCTCTTTTTTTGTTTTTTTCCTTTTTTCCTTTATACCAATTTATGTTATTTTTTTTTAATTATTGAATTGGTTGTTCAAAATATGAAAAATCAATCGTTAGTTTTTGGATTTTATAAAAATTTTCATCAAATTAATTTTTAATTTTTTAATGTAATTTTATTTATTAATAAATATGATTTATTTTCTATGTGTATATATTTTCAAATATTATTTTAGTTATTTTTATCTACTTATTTTTTTATATAATCAAATTTTAAAAATAAAATTCAACTATTTTATTTGCTTATCCTTTATATAATCAAATTTTATCTAGATAAATTTGTAGTTATTTTTATTACATTCTATTAATTTTAATATACGTTTTATAACTTAATTTTTTAAAATATTTTTTGGTTTGTACTGCATACTATAATCCATTAAGTATGGTCATGGTATATAAACTAAAAAATTAAGAATATTGATTTAAATGAAAATTAACTATATATCTACACACACAATACCAATCATTTGTTGTTTTTTTTTAATATTTTTAAATAAAATAATTAAAATAATATTTTAAAAGAACCGTCTAATAATTGAAATACAACTTTTTATACTAATATTATTTATTATTTTATAAATAAATATATAAATTAAATCTATATATTTTTAAAAAGTTAATATTTTCGTCAATATTAAACAAGAATAAAAAAATATATTTGTTATTTTTTTACATAAATTTTTATATTAATTATTATTTTATTTCTTCGATACAATGATATATAAAAATTATTAAGACATTTTTAAAATTTTTATATTTATATTATTATAGGCTTTTCTTTTAAAAAAATCTTTTTTTAACTATAAAATTTATTAAAAATATAAATAAACAAAAGCAGAATTTTAAATAAAAATTATAAAATAAATATATTTAATCCGACTTGTAATGTAATTCAAAAAACCGACTAGTATCAACTATTTAAATAACAAAACACGTCATTTTTATCTATAACTTTAGGATTACATATTGAGTCCAAGTTGCACAAAAGAGAGTGGGAGTAATTTGAATGTCACTGAAGTTATATTTTTTGTTTTTATATTTTCTTGAATCTTTGCGTATGAAGTCAAAGATTGAAAGGCGGTCAAATTATACACAGCTTTTTAAGCACATACCCACCAAGCTCCACTATCACATGATAGTGGTACGACCGCCGCGGGCTATATATGTTGAGGCTAACGCATAATTGACACATGAAATTCAAAGATCTTTCAGATTAGAACCTTCCTGATTGATTTGATTATGCAATGGACAATTGCATGGGCCCATAATAAAAATATCTCCTAACCTTCGGCTTACCTTCCCTGTGCGATAGGGAGGATTGTGTTATCATTAAAGTTTGCTGTCGATAAAAATTAATTTTTTAAAGATATATAATACATATTGTTGCGATGTATTCAGAAATGATAAAATAAAAAATAAATATTAATTTCAAAATTCAAATTTAAAAAAAAGAAAAAGAAAAAAGAAAAGCCAATCTTCTTGACCGCTAATCTCTTAAAATCTTGTACAATCAAGGACGAATCTATTGCTGCATGTGATACCTCATTTAACATGGAAAATCAATTATCTTCGATCTCTTATGTGCTTTTCGTGCATGAATATTGTCCCTTCATGTTTTGCTTTGATATTTCAACCATTTGCCAATTGACATGTGAACTAACTAAACTTTATTGTTCCGTCCGTGGAGTATTGTGTCTTTGAAACTTTGAAACAGGTCCTTAGCTAAGCTAAAACGTTATTTTTATTTTTCTATCTTTCGTAATCAAGAGGTTTTTATTCAAGTCCTCTTTTTTTTTTTAAAAAAAAATGAATCCTTAGTGCAAAATCATTAATTTATGATCTAATTATATATTTATATATTAGATAAAGAAATTATTCTACTAAATTATAGAGAATGCTAGCAACGCCGGCTCTTTGACAATTGTCGTTGTTTGATTATTATTTTTTTTTTAACACTCTCTTTTTTAAGGGTTTGATATGTAATTTATACTCAAACTTTTAGAAGTGTAATAAAATAAAGTCTATATTATCAAATTAATTTATTTAAACCTTAAATTATTTATTTTCAAGCAAATTTTATCATTCTATGATATGTTCAAATATCAATGTATTTTTGATAGTTAATTGAAATGCTTCAAATGACGTTGCTTGAAGTATTTTAGTTTTTATTTTAGAATTAAAATTAATTTCAAAAAATTTTGTTACAATTCAATTTTTTTTTTTTTTACTAGATGGTCATTACACATCACTAATCATTCAATAACAAAAGTTAGATCTACAAACAACCAAATCATCTAAATTTTCTTAAAGCTAATTATTATTAAGTATTTTTTAAATTGATTTTACTTCTTAAAAAAATTGGAAAAAAAAAGAAGAAAATTTAATGTTTTTTTTTACCAGATAGATTCATCATACATCATTAGTTATCCAACAACAAAAATCAGATCTATAAATAACAAAATCATCTAGCTTTTTTAAAGCTAACTATTATTGATTTTTTTAAATTAATTTTAATTCTAAAGAAAACTCGAAATGCTTAAAACGATTTGGTTTTAAATATTTTTTATAAATATTCAATACTTTGACATTAGACATAATGAAAAAAATAATTATCTAAAAATTAATAATTTGAGGTCTAAATTGATAATATAAAATTTATTTTATTATTATCTCAATAGTTTGAGGGTGATTATGCCATTAAACCCTCTATTAAGATATTCACATCATGCTTTTTAATATTGTTGAAAGCGATAACTACATATAGTAGGTTTGATCCACCTGCACGACTTCCAAGTTCTCCCCAATTCTTATTCCATCTGCTGGTTAAAAGAAGTCCTTATCAATAACTTTATCATTCAATGGATCCCAACGTATATGATGAGCTGCTCTGAATTACCTACCACTCTCTGTCAGGAAATTGAAGCTAGGATTAGAAACTTATGGTGGGGTATAATGAAGATGAGAAAAAAAAATCCTTTGGGTTGGATGAGACACGATGTGCAAGGAAAAATAAAAGCAAGGGGGATTGGTTTTCGACAACTCCACCCCTTTGATCTAGTTATGTTAGCTAAACAGGGATGGGGCTTACTATAAGATTCTGAATCCTTGTTAGCGAGAGATTTCAAATCTATATATTAACCTGATTCAAGCTTTTTGCAAAGCACATATTGGGTACTATCTAAGTTATGCTGGCAAAGCATTTGCAAAGCTCGATTGGTTCTAGACCATGGTACAAGATCGCGTCGTGGAAAAGGAGAACAAATCAAGATGTTGAAAGATTGATGACTACCTCATAATAATGGATTCATGTGTTGGTCACCTATTGTGATCCTTGAACGAAGAATGACGGTCAGACGACTTTGAATCGAGATTGATTGTATAGTTGACATAACTTGTTGTATGTTGAATCAATGATGACTACTTAAAAAATAAGTCACCCTCTAGTGTTTAGAGGATCCTTCAATAACTAAGTTAGCTTCCGGAAAGAGGTGTAATGCATGAGTAGTCTTTAAAAAATTTTGCTCTTATATAAAGAAGATATGTGATATCATATATGTTTTAAGTTTAGAAGATAGAATGTGAAATATTTGGTATGTTAAGGGTAGATTGATCTTTTTTTATATTCAATAGCTCCCGATATCTACTTAAAATTTATGATTTTTTAGAGGCATATTGTTGTTTAACAACACCCTATAAATTCATGTTTGAGAATGATGTGACACGAACATTCTAAGAATCCATGTTTTCATTAGATATAAATATCTTTTTTCTCTAGCATATGGAACAAGGGGTATTTTTTTGTTTAAGTCATTTTTTCATATGAGTCATTTGAGCTTTACTTGGTTATGATGCCTCTTATGGTAGTTAGGGTTGTCCTATTTATGAAAAAGCCTTGTCTAAGTGGTCTTTTAGCGAAACAAGGGGAAATATGTTATGATCATAATTATGTAGGTATATCAATAGCCTCCTTGAGTCTTTAGCATGTGTATTTGGCAAAGACTCAAATAATGTTCGAGCTTCTTGAAAAGACAGGTTGGTGATCATGTAATGCCCCTATCCAAGGACCTAAATAGATCAAGAGTATTACCGACATTGATCTACATTCGACGTGTAATGAATGCAAGCCAAGAAGCCTCCTCCTTTATCATATCTAATGCATTAGTGAAAGTGAGCATTTAACTATTCATAAGGTACCTAATGAGTATGTGATACTAGGTCCTCTAAACCTAATTTTGGATATAGATTTTTCCTTTTCTTTAGGTTTTATTAAAGCTTACTAATTTCATTTAAACCTCTTCTAATCATTTAACTATTTCATTTTTCTTTTAATCTTACCCTTAACGATCGTACCTAACCTCTTTACTTGTCATTTTGATTGCAATCATTTTCATAATCCTATTAATTATACCATCCTAATCATGTTAGTCATATATGCATCCATAAGCTATAACTAACAAAATTGACATAATAAGGTTTCATTTACACCAAAACAATAATTGATTAATTGATCTACTTGTATACCAAAAATGCCTAATATGCTATACTTCTACCAAAAATCAAGCTAAGCAATTCCCTATACTCACTAACTTAAACCAAAGAACATAAAATGGCAAGCTCGTCACTTGTCTCGACGACGATCCTTCATTTGTCTTTATCATTTCCTACACCATAAGAAAATAATTGTGAATAAAAAAATGCTCGGTAAGTATAATTTATGCAATGTATGTGATGTCCTTTATGTATGAATGCACATGATGCATCTTCATAAAATCCTTTTCATGCCTTTAAAATATTTTCCTTTTTCCTTTTCTTTTTCTTTTTGGGTGCACCCTTTCCTTTATCATCTCTTCAATTGCGGCCTTCACCAAATCCCCTAACCGTCGAGGCCTTTATCGAATCCCTCGACGAAAAAATACCTTTACCACGTTCTTCGAGTTGGGGCCTTTACCAAATCCCTTAACCGTCGAGGCCATTGCCAAATCCCTTTATGAAGAAGTGGACTAATTTTTTCAATTGGGGCCTTTATCAAATTCTCCAATTGTCGAGGCCTTGATCGAATCCCTCGATGAAGATGTGACATTTTCATCAAAAACGATGAAAATCATGAAAACCTTTTTCCTTTTCCTTTTCATGAAAACCTTCTTTCATAAAAATCATTTTCTCTTTCTTTCATCAAAATCATGAATAAAATTCCTCTTTTATGATAATGATATGCATGAGCATATGCATTTAAATGAAATTTATTGCAATAAACATGACCTTATCATGCATCCCATTACATCCTCAAGAATATGTATAAACATTATAATTCATTCACATGTTCCAAATAATTAAGTATACATGTAACATGAAACATACCTTGCATATTCCATAAAAATAATGAATATCATAATAAGGTCAAGTAAACAAGCATCATAACCATCAATTTTCACGTAAACATAGTCATTCCCTTCCTCTTAATCATCTAAACCTTATAATTAGCCTTTTACCTCTTTGTCCTTGTTTTTCATACTCGGTTGAATTTAAACTAAATGAAGGACGACCTTTATTCCTTCAATCTAGCCTTAAGGATTTCCTCTAGGACATTTCATCAAACACTTGCTAGGCACGGGATAAGGGTGAATAACTCCTAAGTAGGTATAAATTGGTAGTTGCTTTGTCCGAGTGCCTACTTAGGAGTTGTTCACCCACCTTGTTCATGGAACAAGGACCACATCTAAACACAACATTTATCTCATTCAAACATTCAAATATTATCATCCTCATAAAATATACACATAATTATTATCTTACTACCGCAATTCCATCATTTTCACATAATCCTTAACAATATATTAATTGATCCTTCATAAAACAAACCCTAAATTAACATTAATTATCCTTTAAAATATAAATTTCTATCATGTAAGCGAGGAATTATACTTACCTCACTTAGAATTTGGCCTTTGTACCTTTTTTTTCTTTTTGTTCCCTTCTTTCTCCTTCATTCCTAAAAATTTGACCAAATAGGGAAATTCTTCCTTTCTTCTTGCATGATCTTCTAGGATGTTTGAAGCCTAATTTAAGGTATTTCTAGGTGGATTATATTGATTGGAAGTGTTGGATTTGGATGGATGACGTTTCTCTCTTTATTTTGCCCTAGATTTTCTCTTCTTCTTCTCTCATTTTTCTTTCCCTTTTTTC